CTCCTCTACCCTTCACCCCCTTCTCTACCCTTCACCCCCTTCTCTACCCTTCACCACCTTCCCTACCCTTAACCACCTTCTCTACCCTTTACCACCTTCTCTAGCCTTGACCCCCTTCTCTACCCTTCACCACCTTCTCTACCCTTCACCCCCTTCTCTACCCTTCACCCCCTTCTCTACCCTTCACCACCTTCTCTACCCTTCACCCCCTTCTCTACCCTTCACCACCTTCTCTACCCTTCACCCCCTTCTCTACCCTTCACCCCCTTCTCTACCCTTCACCCCCTTCTCTACCCTTCACCCCCTTCTCTACCCTTCACCACCTTCCCTACCCTTAACCACCTTCTCTACCCTTTACCACCTTCTCTAGCCTTGACCCCCTTCTCTACCCTTCACCCCCTTCTCTACCCTTCACCCCCTTCTCTACCCTTCACCCCCTTCTCTACCCTTCACCCCCTTCTCTACCCTTCACCACCTTCTCTACCCTTCACCCCCTTCTCTACCCTTCACCACCTTCTCTACCCTTCACCCCCTTCTCTACCCTTCACCACCTTCTCTACCCTTCACCCCCTTCTCTACCCTTCACCACCTTCTCTACCCTTCACCCCCTTCTCTACCCTTCACCACCTTCTCTACCCTTCACCCCCTTCTCTACCCTTCACCACCTTCTCTACCCTTCACCCCCTTCTCTACCCTTCACCCCCTTCTCTACCCTTCACCCCCTTCTCTACCCTTCACCCCCTTCTCTACCCTTCACCCCCTTCTCTACCCTTCACCCCCTTCTCTACCCTTCACCACCTTCTCCACTCGTTGCCTATTAGACAAAACCAGCAGACCTCAGCCATGCCCAACAAAACTATCACCTAAAGCAATATTATGAATAAAAACTGCCAGAAACTCTTCAAATATATTAGATTTACATTAAAAAATAAGAAAGATCTACAAGTATATACAAGGTCTAAAAATGTTGAATATCGGATCAGAACAAATTGAAGTCTCAGATTTTCTGTTAAGCTGATTAATAGCGTATTTTGGGCAGCCTTGAACAGAATACATGAAGAACCCCCAGTTAAGGCACGAAGTAATTTACAAGAAAGACAATGTTCCTGAACTTTAAATAGGATATTTTGATTTCATATTGATCTTATTATTACTGCCACACCACACCTGACACTGTATATTGCCCTCATGTTCCTTTAACTAAAACATATATAAATAACTGGCCATCACTTTCCATAATGGTGACTGAGCTCTTGGACCACACTAAAATTTTGCCCATTGGCATACTTTGGATAACATTTCAATGAATATTCCATCTATTGACTTGATTGTGGTACTATTTTATAAATAATTTCCTCTTCCAACACAAAGTGGATGCATTTTCAAAAATTGTATTTAACGCTTTTTTTTTATTCTACTTACAAACAAATAGTAGTTTAGGTGACCAAGGACTGATGATGACACAACCCTGCTGGTGCGAGGTGAGCAACACAGCACCTGGCGGAGCCTTCATGTAAACCACACAAAACGGAGTACTGTACTGTACTATATACACAGTTCACTCAATTTTGCACAAGTGGAACAGAGCTTGATGTAACAAGATACATCAGAGGTGGTCCACAGAGCTTGATGTAACAAGATACATCAGAGGTGGTCCACAGAGCTTGAAGTAACAAGATACATCAGAGGTGGTCCACAGAGCTTGATGTAACAAGATACATCAGAGGTGGTCCACAGAGCTTGAAGTAACAAGATACATCAGAGGTGGTCCACAGAGCTTGATGTAACAAGATACATCAGAGGTGGTCCACAGAGCTTGAAGTAACAAGATACATCAGAGGTGGTCCACAGAGCTTGATGTAACAAGATACATCAGAGGTGGTCCACAGAGCTTGAAGTAACAAGATACATCAGAGGTGGTCCACAGAGCTTGATGTAACAAGATACATCAGAGGTGGTCCACAGAGCTTGATGTAACAAGATACACCAGAGGTGGTCCACAAAGCTTGATGTAACAAGATACATCAGAGGTGGTCCACAGAGCTTGAAGTAACAAGATACATCAGAGGTGGTCCACAGAGCTTGATGTAACAAGATACATCAGAGGTGGTCCACAGAGATTGATGTAACAAGATACATCAGAGGTGGTCCACAGAGCTTGAAGTAACAAGATACATCAGAGGTGGTCCACAGAGCTTGATGTAACAAGATACATCAGAGGTGGTCCACAGAGCTTGATGTAACAAGATACATCAGAGGTGGTCCACAGAGCTTGATGTAACAAGATACATCAGAGGTGGTCCACAGAGATTTAAGATACAAAATACACCCAGCGGTGGTCCACAAAGCTTTATGATACAAAATACACCCAGAGGTGAAGAACTATGCATATCCAAATAAAGCAAAAGCTCACAACTGGATATTTCCAGCAGTACCATATGTCCACCTTAGAAGTACAGTACAGTACAGTAATGCTCTAAGCTCCTCAAACTTATCTTAAGAAAATGTTTAAGGTAAAAACAAAAATTACTACTAAAACATGTAAAAACACTTGAGTAACTTTCCCATTATAACACTGACAACTCCTGACATTAAAACACCTTGTGCTTATACTATCCTTTACTTTATTTATGATAAAATAATAGGGTTAGGTTGCATATATATAAACAATAATATATTCAACGCATTCTGTACAGTTTACACAGCCAAGGAATGAAGGCTGGGTCACTGCTAACACCTCTATATACACAATGATAATGCACCAGGTACAATAGCTGAGGTGGTTTCTCTACAACTGGAGCTCACTCCCTGTAGACACAATTAGGCAAGAACACTATCTATAGTATCATTTATAGATTCCTGCATTAATAAACATTTTATTTATTAACCATTTTACTCTTATTATTTATGAAATAGTAAAGATAGTTTGATATGGTGCAAAAACAGTACAGATCTATAATGCATGACAATGAAAATACTGTAGTGTGATGAAGTCAAAAACACTCTACTGCCCCGATGCCTTACTTCCTCTGGACAGCCCCCATTAAGGGGTGGCCATAACAGAAGTTTATCCACCAGGCTTTATTACTACACAATCTTTCACTCGTTCAAGCAACCTGATGTACTTCCCTGCTCTTATTTTTCATTTACGGACTCACTACTTGATACCTGCTGGGAGGAGTTCTACTCCCCAAGCCCAGCTTGTGGCCAGGCTTGACTTTTGGGAGCTTAGTCAAACAGGCTGTTGCTTGGAAAGGCCCGCAGGCCCCACATATCCATCACAGCCTGGTTGGTCTGGCACTTCTTGAAGAAAACTATGTAGTTTTCTCTTGAAGATGTCCACGGTTGTTCCCGCAATATTTCTTATGCTCGCTGGGAGGATGTTGAACAACCGTGGACCTCTGATGTTTATACAGTGTTCTCTGATTGTACCTATGACACCCCTGCTCCTCACTGGTTCTAGTTTGCATTTTCTTCCATATTGTTCACTCCAGTAAGCTTTTATTTTACTATGTAGATTTGGGACCTGGCTCTCACTTTTCCTTCCAAGATACAGGTCATCGCCTCTTCCATCTGATCCACTTATTTTACCTTTGTACACTCTTCTTAAACAATTCTCCAGCATTCTATTACTGCATCCATGCAACCTTAGTGCATTGTGCTTCACCTATCTCACACACTTCCTCATTATTATACCCATCCCATATACTCATACCATCTACTGCTCTCAAACGAAAAAAAATGACTGCTGGCACTCTTGAGCACGCTGCCATTCTCCCTGCCCAAGCTTCACTGTTGTCTCGGCTTGATGCGAGACATCTCTTCCGTACCTCTCATCATTCCTTCCTTTCTTTATACTTGTCATCTCAACCATTTATCTATTCAACACTTCCTGCTTGTGTTATTGTTAGGCTTGGTTAAGTTCATTTTGGTAAGGTTAACTATGTTAGGTTGTTAAAGTTTGCTTGAGAGCAAATTTGAAAGGGGGCAACTTGACCTATAAACATTCATTCAAAATATATGAATGATACTCTGAGGGTGATCAGTTCTGCCTCCATATATAGTAGTTAATTTGTGTTTTTACTCATTTTCAATACCACAATCATAATTCGCAAGTAGAATATTTTGAGCGATTATCATAATTATGGTAAAGAAAGATACTAGCTCCCTTGTTTAAACAATAATGATGATTATATTCTTCAAATATGTTCTATGGCTGTCTTATAAAACAACTGTAGGAATGATTAGCTTTCACTTTCATCATATAAAATACACTTGTCATATCTAAGGTCAGTTGTATTCATATTTTGCAATAGAACTCAATTATGCTGCGTTACCCTAGTAGACACATCATGTTCTTGCTCATAATCATAAAGAGTGGGCAAACCACGCTTCATTTTGTCTTTAAACTCATCAACTAAAGATGACAAAGTCAGCCTACCAATAAGAAATTGGTAATAATCATGACAATTAACTGGAATGGAAAATGCACAAAATGCCATTCCAATCCAGAAAATTTAAGATGGATGCATCTTGTGAACACATGAGTACAATATTCTATTTTGCCATAGAAAATGTGGATGATGATGACGATGATGACATCCACATCCTGATGAATGTGCGTGATGAATAGAATATCCTGCACAAATATGAGCAGTACTTTGATTTTCCTTGCGTAAGAAGTAGAATCCATCTGTCAAAAACTGCTTACATGACATCATAGCCCATCCAGATTGATACTAGGAGGAATAAATCAAAATACCATAGTAGTTAACTGTCTTCATAATGATGATTCCCCAAGTTCTTGTGGAAGAATGTCTTGAAGTCGACTACTGGTGAGAAGGACCACTCAGTTTGGGTCAGTGGTGTGAAAGTGTAGCAGTGTAAAGTAGATTGTGTACAGTTTCTCCAAACTTAAACTAGAAACAATGTTTAAAATCATAACTTGGGAACTGTGATGAATCTTAGGGCAACAAGCAACCAGAAATAAAACAATACCAGAAAGTTCATACTATATTACAAGTAATAAATGTAGATATAAACAGACCAATTACCAACATCAAACAGAGAAACTGGATGGGAAATTAAGGTCCAAGATACTTTTGAGGATTAAGATGTCAACTTTTGCAAAACAAAAAAAACAGGAAGGAAAAAATTCAGTCATCAGAAATAGATTTACAGTGTGTTTAAAGTTTAAGGATAGCATTTGGGAGCGAGATGAGTGCAGCCAACACAGGAGGTGACACCTGAGTTGTAACTATCATGCTCCAAGTATTTGTCAACATTACTGCAAGTAATGCCCACCATTTTTAGGTATCAACCACTGTTATTGAACTGGTTCACTTTAAATGTTCACATCAGTAAATTTCCTAATCTGAAACGATTTTTTAAGTAAATTAGAATCATTGCTGCCTCATTGAATCTCGTAATTTCGGGCAATAAACCAAGGCAAACGAATACAAAATAAGGATTAATAAAAAGGCTACAGATACATTCTAGCACACAGCAAGCTGGGATCATCACAGGCTTCTTGGTGCTTTATATAGCTTAATTTGCTGTACATCAGCCAACCTGCATCCAAGATGGTATCTAGGAAAGCTCACCTCCAAAGGGCCCGAAAGGTAAATATTTCACACAGAGGAGTTCATATCAGTACTGAAGCTGTCAACTGTACATTTGTCAACTAATTCTTGCTACTAACTTTTTATTTTCATTAATGCATTGTTTTTACATTTTTCCTTCTAGGCCAGAGCTAAGGATTCACCAGGAAGATTTCCAAACAAATGAAGACAATAGGTGGTGAATACTGAAGTTGCCAAATGGCCATAACAACAATGTGGGACTTCACAGTTTTTCAACCAAATCATCTTTTAACAAAATAATTCCTGCTGAATTAGTTCAGGTAATTGTATCACAAGAACAACCTGCTCAGCAAACTGCAAACAGATGCGTCATAAAGATTTATTTATATAACTTGACTCTGCCTTATTCATTGTGAATCCAACATGGACAACACAAGAGAAACATATGCATGTCAACTGTATAAATCATGCAGCATAAATGCACAGTTTCACTCGACCTGGATCCATTTTGACAACATGCATACGGTTTCTCATTCTATTTCAAATTCAAGAGTAACCTTGTATGCACATTTAAATTCAATAAAAGTCTGACCCAGCATCATTAACACCTCACACAAGTTACAGCGTCATTCAACTCAAATCCATCATGGCATCGTGTGTAGGGCAGGCATCCCGCTGGATTGACTCGAAGAGAGATTGTAGTTCTGGAGTAGACTTGATGTGAGCAACAAATTCAGACAACTGGGGATTTTTGTCGGCATCTGGGATGGTGAGGAGAGCCGCAACGGCTCTCATGGCCGACCGCTTCAACTCGTCCTGCTTCTCATATTCCTGCTTAACTGAATTTGCTTTTACCTTAGTTGTCACAGTTGTGCGGAGTGGTTCAACTAATCTCTCAAGTCTGAAACACAAAAATAATATGCATTAGCAAAACTAGGGTGTGGACAAAATTGTGCATAAACAATAAAACAATAAGCCATACCTAAAGTCAAAGAATCTTAAACAAGTACTGTATTAGGCATCTTTCAGTTACGGGAGACCATGGAGTTGCACTCTGGTTGTCAAATCCTGGTGCAGCGTCTAGTGTGACTGATAAGGCCAATCCGAGAATGGCAGTCCATCCCACACTGAGCACAAACGAAGTCTGATTCTGGTCTGTCTTCCTGGCTACCAGATTTCCTTCTCTGTCTCTTTGCCTTCGATTGCTTGGCAAGTGACTCCTTGAACCTGGAGAGCTCCGTGTCGAGAGAGGGAGTTAGAGATTGTGGAGCCTAGGTACACGAAGTTGTGAACGATTTCCAGTTTGTAATCGGAGATGCCACTGTTAGGTGGGGGAGGGGGGGTCCACTCCTTGTCCCAAGACCTGTGTTTTCTTCAGGCTAATGGTGAGTCCGAAAGTTTGACAGGCCTCGCTGAAGAAGGCCACAAGCAGTTGGAGGTCTTCAGCCGAGTGTGCAGTGACTACGGCGTATTCAGCAAAAAGGAAGTCACACAGACACCTCAACTGAACCTTTGTCTTGGCTCTTAGCCTGGCGAGGTTGAAGAGCTTTCCATTCGACCAAGTCCGAAGGTAGATGCCTTCCATGGCAGATCCAAAGGCGTGCTGCAGCATAACTGTGAAGAAAATCCTTAATAGGGTTGGAGCCAGGACACAGCCCTGCTTTACTTCGCTTCAGATGTCGAAGGCATCTGATGTTAAGCCGTCAAAGACCATGATGCCCTTCATGTTCTCGTGGATGGATCTGGTGATGCTGAGGAGCCTGGGTGGGCATCGATCTTGGGGAGGATCTTGAACAGGCCATCCCTGCTGATGAGATCATAGGCCTTTATCAGATCTATGAAAGCTAAAAAAAATGGCTGCTTCTGTTCCCTGCTTTTCTCCTGCAGTTGTCTGAGGGAAAAGACTATGTCGATGGTGGACCTGTTAGCTCGGAATCCGCATTGTGATTCTGGGTAGATTCTCTCTGTAAGTACTTGGAGCCTCTTCAATGTGACTCGAGCAAACAGTTTTCTGACAATGCTGAGGAGGGAGATGCCGTGGTAATTGTTGCAGCAGCATCTGTCAACTTTATTCTTGTACAGCATGACAATGTTGGCATCCCTCATGTCCTGCAGCACCTCTCCTTCTCTCCAGCAGAGATGAAGGTTTTCATGCAACTCCATGTGTAGGTTACCTTTGAAGCACCTTCAAGGCCTCAGCAGGAATGCCATCACTTCCAGGATCTTTGCCAGAAGCAAGGGAGTCTAAGGCCTCGCTGAGTTCTTCGAGGGTCAGTTTGCTGTCGAGCTCCAGTATCACAGGCAGATACTCAATAGCACTCAGGGCGTCTTCGGTGACCACATTCTCCTTGGCGTATAGCTCGGAGTAGTGCTGAAACTATTACCTAAACAAGTAATCCAGCATTAAGAGGTGGGATCCATGAGGGGAAGTTATTATATAAAGAAGGCACCAAGCCTAGACCATTGTACACAATGGGTGTTACAGGACAATGCACTTGTGACAGTAAGACACGGGTCCACTAAGGGCATATGAGTTAATCATGTGTGACAGTGTGCCCAATAAGTAACTTAGCCAGACACAGTTCCCACCTCATGTATCAGAGACAGGCAGAAGGCCACAGAGATAGGCCACACTTAATGGTTATCTTGAGATGATTTCGGGGCTTATAGCGTCCTCGCGGCCCGGTCCTCGACCAGGCCTCCTTTTTCTTAAACTCCCCCCCCCCCCCCCAGGAAACAGCCGGTAGCACCTGTCTAACTCCCAGGTACCTGTTTACTGCTAGGTGAACAGGGGACATCAGAGTGAAAGAAACTCTGCCCACTTATTTCCACCTCCGTCAGGGATCAAACCCGGAACCTTAGGACTAAGAAACCCGAACACTGGCTGCTCAGCCGTCAGGCCCTCTTTTTTTATTAAAAACAGATGGCGCCCCTCATCAGGCAGTAATTTTTTTATAGCTAATAACCTGAAGACAAACACTGTTGCCAACATCAATAAGCTGTATTGTATCCTCAGTAGTAAATCTGTTCTTATCTCCTGATAATTAAGTTACTATGTTGTATTTTTTTCATGTTGGGAAGTAGCTTCAACTACTTCTCTTCCACTTGCCGACCACCTGTGCCAGGTACAAAAATTTCCTTGCATCACTACAACTCAAATGCACATTCAGTTTCCAAAGATGTCCCCCATGTCCAACGTCTAAATTTAAATAGTCAATCTTATATTTCTTCCATCTCTTGACCATCTTATGTTTCTTCCAGTATTTTGTATATACTGTAGACACACTATTATCCGGGATTAGAACATCCGGAAAACGCCCTTATACGGCCAAAATCGTGACCGGATAAAGTTATCTCAATATCCGGCCAAAATGGCCACGGGAGCCAGATAAAAGCTGGTTTAGCCGGATGAAAAATCGGAGCCGGTTAACTTTCTGCCAATGTTACACTATCCGGACAGTCAGCCGGATAATCATTGAATTGTCCGGATATGAAAGCCATGGGGCGGGCCGTACCGCATTAATCCTGTCTGCCTGTGGCTCGAGACGCATGGTGGAGGAGGGGATGGGGTGGATTGGTGGTGTCGGGAGAGAGGGGAGCGTTGTGCCGACTCCACATCCCCCTTATCCCCCCTGGGTGAATAAGGGGGATGTGGAGCGGCCTATACACTACAGTACAGGAATTACCATTAATTTTAGAATTCATCATAGCCAAAATCAAAAGAACTACTAGTAATAAAAAAATACCATACAAGTTTCCTAAAAACAATTTGCACAGGCTGAAGTTTCCTTCAAAAATATTTTTTTTTTTTTTTTCCTGCTGGCGGCCTACGTAATGTGCCTCCTTGCCCCGACTGGACCCATCCATGCCTGGTCAAGCCATGTGCTCTCGACCCTCATGTTACACCACAGTGCCGCGCCATTAGTGAAATATTTTTTTAAATAACTTTTTTATTTTCATAGTAACTTTGAACATTTTTGGCCAAGACTATGTCTGGTAGCGGCATGAATCGTTCTGGAGGTGTTAAGAGAAAGAAGGTTGTCCTAACAATTAAGGACAAGTTATATGTTATACAACTTTGTGAAAATGGCCGGTCGACTTCAGGTGTTGCCAAGGAATTTAATATAGGCACTAGTACTGTTTCTGATATAAGAAACAAAAAGAGAACATTCTGAAATACATTTCAACCTGTGAAAGTGAAGGTGCAAGCACTAGCAGAAGGTGTGGTAGAAAGACTGAAAACTTCGATGCATGTACAGCTGGATGAGGCCATGTACAAGTGGTTTCCTCAGCACCGCACAGCTGGCGTGACAATTCGCGACCCAGAAATACAAAATGCTACAAGCAGGTTTGCAGCAAGCCTTGGAATAAAGGATTTCAAAGCGAGTGAAGGGTGGGTTGCTAGGTTCAAAGGGAGGCACAATATTGTGAAGAGGAAAATTATCGGTGAAAAACTGAGTGCAGATGAAAGCAGTGTAGAACCATTTAAACAGTAATTAAGAGCATACATTTTGGCAAATAATTTATATTCTTATCAAATTTATAATGCTGATGAAACTGGGCTGTAATGGAGGAGTTTATCAGAAAAAACTCTAGCAATGAGGAGTGAGGGTTGTGTGCCAGGCCGTAAGGTCAATAAGGACAGGCTGTCGGCCATGATGTGTGCGAATGCCAACGGCACAGACAGAATCACGTGTGCAATTGTTGGCAAATCAAAGAAACAAAGAGCCTTGCAACGTTGCATGGACAAACTGTCAGTCAAATATTATAACTCACAAAATGCATGGTTTACACAGCTCTTTCTTTCCTGGTTTCATGACGTGTTCTGCAGTGAAGTTCGTGCCTATCAAGTTAAGAAACTCAAAGTAAGGCCAAGCAAAGTTCGGGCTTTGCTGCTGCTTGATAATGCGCCTGCCCACCCCAAAATTGACACGTTAACCTCACAAGATGGCAAGATAACGTGTATGGCACTTCCTCCTAACACAACCTCTCTCATCAAACCTATGGATCAGGGAGTTATCTGTGCCACGAAGAGGTTGTACACCAAAAAGATGCTGAACGAAGTTTTGGTGGTTTTGCCTCTTCCGGAAGATATTGAACTCGGTGTGGATAACAGGGCTAAAAAAAACTTGAGAATTTGAAGAACTATACAATCAAGGAAGCCATCTATAACTGGGCCAAGATGTGGAATGAAGTAAAGGAATCGACTTTGAATGACCTGGACTATGATTACTGGACGACGTAACCCCTGGAGGAACTTTTATAACTAAACCAATATCATTGGGGTGGGAAACCCCAAGAGCAATATCTTCAATATTAAAATGTGCATCTGCCCCTAAATCTACACACACACACACACACACACACACACACACACACACACACATACACCTGCTCTGATTCCAGGAGACACTTCCAGTAGTCTCACATGTACAAAATACCATAGAGAGTCATGCACTACTTCTAATGTTATGTTTAAAGTTCACAAGAACTGTTAGAATTTTTTATTCAGAAATAGGAATATATTTTTGTTTTAGAACTATTCCACATAGTACAATATACAAGTTCTCGTTGGAATTTATTCTTTATTCAATTAAAATTAATATAAATTTATGTTACCATCTGATGAGTGCCTCAGCATCCACCTTACAGAACTGCTTCAAAGGTTTTAGAGTATACAGTAATTAATCATTATGTATTTATTCCAAAAAACCGTAATAAGGTTTTAAAAATTTTAAAACCAATATAATGGAGGCTTTTTCTAGATACCACAGAACATTTCATATAGAAACCAAATTGCTGAAATATTAGATATTCCTAATAAGGATACCTAATACGACAACTGGGTATTGGACATCACCTAGAATCGGGGCGTTGGGGTTAAATGTCTACTACAGCTACCCTTCTTTGTATTCAAGATACTGATAAAATCCGACTCATAATGTCCATTTCAAAAACTTTCATGGAAATATTTGCTTACCTTTGTAAGACAGCCTGAGGACACAAGTGAGCCAGCCGAGTCAGCATTAGGTAGGTGAGCATCTTGATGTCGTAGTGGTCCCGCAGACCGCCTTCCACGTGTTCCAAGAATACATAAATATCGACGCGATCTAAACACGTTTCGAGGAGTGTGTACATGCATTCAAATGCAGCCTTACGAATATCTAATCCGTCATCAACAGTGTGTTTAAACGGACCCATTTCTACTTCACGTATCAACTCTTTCTGAGGATGGAAATTTTGTTTTTGAAATCTTTGAACACTCATGTATTCAATAATGCTAAAAAATAATAATAAATTACAACTTGTACATATAATTAACTTTATCTAGTCTAATTATACGTTTGTGATTACACACAGTACTTACCCGAACTTTAGTTTCATTGTAAAGTTGTGGAAGAATAGTGTCGAGGAGGTCACGAACGAGAGAGGGTTTATTGTGGGCTGCCGAGTTAAAGGCAACAAGAGCTACACGGCGAACATTGAGATCGGGATCTTGAAGCGTCGACAAAAAGTCTCCAATACAGTGTCGGAGGAGGCCATCAATAGCTGTGGGCTGAAAGTAGGAAAACCCCCTATCTTAGCTGACAATACAAGAGTAAACATCCCACTACCACAACATATGCAACACACACACTCTCCAGTTACCAGCCATAACATAAAGGCTAAACATATCTTAGCCCCTGGCCTTCACACAATAATCCGGCACATGTGTCAGCTGACTGTCATGTGCCCGGACAGAACACCTGCTACAGTATAGATGCAATTCACTGCAACTATTATGTACTCACACATCATTATTTCCATTTATTAAAAAGCCCTATAAATTTTAACTCACTTATACTAGTAATACTGTATGTCAAATTAGACAGTACATATTAAATATTCTGAAGCAGCATCATTAACCAGAAACAATATCTAATTAACCAGATTAATTTACATAGTCTACATAACCTACCTGCATACTCACCATTTGCAATTACCCGAGAATTACTATTTACTAACAAATGAACGATAAAATTTAGACCTATGCCCAACTCCCAAAACCATAAGATTATTCCCCACCCAATAGTCATGATTTCAATTTATAATAAATATAGGGCTGATAATTAACAGCACAATTTGTTTCTAGTAGTTACGTATATTGTGTATATATACGTATTATCGTTACCATCTTTCCAATATACCACTGGGTAGGGAAGCATCAATCCGGAGAACATAGCAAATAATCACGTGTCATGTGTAAGGAAATGCCCATTTCTGAGTGGCCTCAGTAGCTCTAGGATGCATGATCTATAGCAGCAACTGCCATTGCCCCAGTGGTGCTTCCATGGTGCACTGAGGTCCCAGTGGTTCATGATAGCAACTGCCATTACCCCAGTGGTGCTTCCATGGTGCACTGAGGTCCCAGTGGTTCATGATAGCAACTGCCATTACCCCAGTGGTGCTTCCATGGTGCACTGAGGTCCCAGTGGTTCATGATAGCAACTGCCATTACCCCAGTGGTTCATGATAGCAACTGCCATTACCCCAGTGGTGCTTCCATGGTGCACTGAGGTCCCAGTGGTTCATGATAGCAACTGCCATTACCCCAGTGGTTCATGATAGCAACTGCCATTACCCCAGTGGTTCATGATAGCAACTGCCATTACCCCAGTGGTGCTTCCATGGAGCGCCAAGGTCCCAATGGTCTACGTGATAGAAATTTGCTTGGTTTCCACTACAACTGCTCGAAACAATAATTTTAATGTGAGATAATGTAAACAAAGTGACTAAAAGACAAGAGGCAGCTCATACCTGATCTGATATGGTAAATTTGATGGCGGTAACAATTGTGGTTCTCATCATTGGTGAGTCTGTTTTTAACGATTCTTGCAACTTAGGAAGAAGAGCAGATGGGTTTATGAGAGTTAATTTGCCTAAACATTCAGCTACGACATTACGAGTTCCCTCCTCGACGCATTCTGTGTGCCGGAAGAGCTGCGTCCAGATGTCGCTCACAAAACCCTGAAGAACCTTGACACCTTCCACACTCTTGCTTTGTAGGCTAATGATCTGCAAGACATAAGCACTTATATTGTGTGTGAGTTTCTAATCAAACAATAAGATTTATTACTAAGCAATAATAATAATAATAGAAAAATAAACTATTTTTCTTGGTTACCAATTTGAAGAGCAATTATTAAATTCTCGATAGAAAAGAAGCTCAAGGCAAAAACAGTATACAGCACGGCAAGTTCAAAAATAAGATTAGTTGGGAACTCAACATAATTTACTGCTATGTAGTTTCTGTGATCAAACATTTCGGTAACAATGAAAAATGATGATAGCACGTCGGCGTAGAAAGGCATGCAAACTGTTCCTACAACTTGGCCAGAGTGAGACAGCAGTTTCTCATCCAAGACAAAAATGTGTGCTGAATGCTAACAGTTATGTAGGATGCTAACACAGACAGCCTCACAAGAGAAGCAATCACAAGGGAAGCCGTTAACATTCACACAGATGAAACCAAGAGCTGACAATATACATACATTACGTACATGTCTAGGGTAAAATTACATTACACTTACCTCTTTTAATGAATGCAAGAGAAGATATTGCCTTTTAGGATTAGCTTCTATTTCTGATAAGACAAATGGCAGGTATTCCTGTAAGTTCCCACAACTCAAGTGACCGAGGGCGTAAGAAGCTGCGGATTTAACTTCCTCAGAGGGAGAGCTGAACGATGCAACAACTGCATCTTTCAGCTGGGGGATACTGCTGAGGTCACTGCAAGGAAACAAACATGCTGAGATTATCAATACTTGATAAACATACTAGAAACTTAAATATACCACTGCTCAAGGGTCAAGTTGCCCAGCCAAGTTCCTCTCCATTTCTCTTGTACCGGTCACGCACCATAACAATTTTCTTCACACTTACGTGCTATGTAGTCATAGTAGCTTACCACTTTCTCTTGATAATTACCTTACCCTGCATATGACTTGCCATGTCATCATCTTAACCATCCTCTTCTGTACTACCAAACCTCAAACTCATAATGTGCATCTCCAGTCTGGTCATTTGCAGCCTGGTTGATCAGTCCAGCAACCAGGAGGCCTGGTTGACGACCGGGCCGCGGGGACACTAAGCCCCGGAAGCACCTCAAGGTAGCCTCATCATCCATTTTTAATCCAGCATAACAAAATCATTAATGTACTCCCTCCTCAATCTTACAATCTACTGATTTTTTATCACCTCTCTCCATGATACTTTTCTTACTCAATCCTTCTAAGATCTAAAAATTATTTTCAGATTATAAATTTATACTACTCTAATTCTTGCTTTGTAATTCTTATGTTGCAGTCATATACAAGCATGCACTGCCGCACCACAATCTCCGTTGGTTTCATTTCTTCCCACCAAATTCTAACATGCCTTTCTTTACACTACAAACAAAAAGTTATTAATGCAGCCCAAATATAATTCCTGTGATCTCAGTATTGTGTCAATAACAGTGCTCTCATGAAACATGAAGCCCATCTGTGCACAAAGCTTGCAGACAGTCAAGTGTCCCAAGGTAAACAACATGACTCAGTGCTCTCATGAAACATGAAGCCCATCTGTGCACAAAGCTTGCAGACAGTCAAGTGTCCCAAGGTAAACAACATGACTCAGTGCTCTCATGAAACATTAAGCCCATCTGTGCACAAAGCTTGCAGACAGTCAAGTGTCCCAAGGTAAACAACATGACTCGATAATCTTGTACTGTAGATGACATTTACTTCAGGATGACACTTTTTCTTTTAAATTGGCAGTCATTGCATTATGACAACGTGCAATATTAAACCTGCTTACCACTCCAAAGCTTCATAAAAATAGTGAGGATTAAACTTCTTGATACAAACTTACATATGTTTTCCAATTTCTCCAATGGCAAGAAGAGAGAAGGACTGGACTGTCGGCGACCGAGGATTCGTGACGTCCATCAGGAATCTGTCGACGACACCGACTGCTTCACTAGTGTGCGTGAGGGTAAGAGCTGCCACACACTTAGCCATTGAGTGGTATGCCTGAGGAAATTACTCATACTTCAGTGAATCTTTCTTGGAAGGTATTATCACAAAATTTAGACCAATTCAAAACTGTTTATTCATTTGAAATAACTGACAATGAACATCAATAAAAACATTGACACATTCTATGTTATTCACAAGACGTAACACCTGATTTGTATCTAATGTTTTGAAAAAAAAAAAAAAAAAAAAAAAAAAAAAACTTATAATTGCTACTCGTACACAACTCAAAACTAGTACAGTACGTAAAAATCACTCTTGTACTATATGTCTCTACACACTATTATTAATCACACTGATCTTTTATTACCAATATTATAACTAGAGACATTGGACAAACAAGCAAATACGTTAATAGTCAATCATCTCCCCAATACTGACACAAATCAGCTGGAGAGGCAAATAAAACTACTTTAACACTAAAGGACAAACATAGTTGTGAAGGCATATTGCGGCAGTGAATTCCACAGTCTAGCTATTTTTGCCGAACAAGAGATGAGGTGCTAAGACGCACCTTGAGAGTGCAGAGAGAGAGATTTTGTGTACCAGTAATAAGCAGTCAATACCGGAGTAGTCCCTACTTCCTGGAGTGACCAAAGTGGTCCTAATATTCAAGAGAGAGACATCCCTTGCTAGGAGCTATTGTCCAATGAGCCTGGTGTGGATAGTAAGAAAGTTATTTGAGCCTGTAAATTCAATAAGAAAACACCTTGAGACACACAAACAACCAACAGCAAAAACAATTATGATATAGACTATCCTGACCCTGGTAAGGCTCTGTACCCCATTAGGCTGATCAGAAAGGCTGAGGCCCATGGCATTCGAGGCACTGTTCTTGATTGGATCAAGTCTGGATAAAAGATACAAGTGGCAGCATGTCACTACTGGTGTTTATTTGTCAACATAGGGACCAAGGGTATTTTGGTCCCAATGTTTTTCATAATATATGTCAATGACTTAGATGTTGGCAAGAACAGTAATGTCAGCAGATTTTCACATGACACAAAAGTGGGGCAAATAGTAAACTCGAAAAAAAAAAATGGATCTCAAGCATAACTAAACCACTGCAGAATGCATAGAAATAGTGGTAGAGGTAGTTCAATGTTGATGAGTGTAAAATCCTGAGCTTGGGAAATGGCAGTAGCAGCAACTATCACATAAACAAGGCAGATTTGTGCAGAGTTGAGAAAGTGAGTGTCAACAATAAATGCACAATGTCCTCCAGTTATATTTAGTCTTCACGAGGCCCCACTTACACCACTGCGTTCAATTTTGTTCATCGTTTTACAAAGTGGACATCAATTTCCGAGAGAAAATTAAACTTATGAATACCAGACCGAACCCTGGTGTACGAAACCTCCCATACGAGGAAACGGTTTGGGATTGCATAGGGGAATACATAATGAAGATCCTTAAATGGATGGCAGCGCCTTGAAACTATAAGATTAAGCAAAAACATATAACAATTGCTATAAGGCAGAGGCTCCCCCCCCCCAAATATCACTAACAGATTCAACTCTCTTCCCAAATGGATGTAATCACTTGCATTGATGAATTGTAGTTAGCTTTGAAAAAAAATAACATAGGGAAGAGAGGGATAGAGCTAGATAAGCACTGCTCAGGATGAGTTAAATGGCCTGCTGTGATGACTCCTATGTCTTATGTTCTTATGTCTACGTAGTCTTATGTTCTTATGTCTATGTAGTCTATGTTCTTATGTCTACGTAGTCTTATGTTCTTATGTCTATGTAGTCTATGTTCTTATGTCTACGTAGTCTATGTTCTTATGTCTACGTAGTCTTATGTTCTTATGTCTACGTAGCCTTATGTTCTTATGTCTACGTAGTCTTATGTTCTTATGTCTATGTAGTCTATGTTCTTATGTCTACGTAGTCTTATGTTCTTATGTCTATGTAGTCTATGTTCTTATGTCTACGTAGTCTTATGTTCTTATGTCTACGTAGTCTTATGTTCTTATGTCTACGTAGTCTATGTTCTTATGTCTACGTAGTCTTATGTTCTTATGTCTATGTAGTCTTATGTTCTTATGTCTACGTAGCCTTATGTTCTTATGTCTATGTAGTCTTATGTTCTTATGTCTACGTAGTCTTATGTTCTTATGTCTACGTAGTCTATGTTCTTATGTCTATGTAGTCTTATGTTCTTATGTCTACGTAGTCTTATGTTCTTATGTCTACGTAGTCTATGTTCTTATGTCTACGTAGTCTATGTTCTTATGTCTACGTAGTCTTATGTTCTTATGTCTACATAGTCTAATGTTCTTTTGTCTTTGTAGTCTTATGTTCTTATGTCTACATAGTCTTATGTTCTTATGTCTACGTAGTCTATGTTCTTATGTCTACGTAGTCTTATGTTCTTATGTCTACATAGTCTAATGTTCTTTTGTCTTTGTAGTCTTATGTTCTTATGTCTACATAGTCTTATGTTCTTATGTCTACGTAGTCTATGTTCTTATGTCTACGTAGTCTTATGTTCTTATGTCTACATAGTCTAATGTTCTTTTGTCTTTGTAGTCTTATGTTCTTATGTCTACGTAGTCTTATGTTCTTTTGTCTTTGTAGCCTTATGTTCTTATGTCTACATAGTCTTATGTTCTTTTGTCTTTGTAACCTTATGTTCTTATGTCTATCTAGTCTGATGTGTCATCTTGGACTAACAGAAAATGGACATAAACTATTAGAAAGCTTACTTGATCTCAAGCAAGTACAGTTTGCCCAAAATAAATGCACAAAAGTGGAAAAAAAAATACTTTTTCTTAAGTTGGCAGGTTAACCTTGTTTCAGACACGTTTCGGCAAAATAAGACCAGGCTACCACACTCATCCCAGAATTGGGATGAGTGTGGTAGCGCATAGCAAACACATATATTAATGAGTTTGGCCGGATATAAATAGGAGCTGCCTTCAATGAGCTTCTGCATTTACCTAAATTCTTGTCTTCATATATCCATTAATAAATTAAAATTCAATCGTGCCAATATGACATTAATTAACCACAAAAATTAAAAAAATGATAAAAGGTCTATAGTGTATTCATCAATTCATATATTTATATTCATCGCCCCAAATAATATTTGTAATAACATTCTCCAACCTGCTTGTGAATATTTGCAGCCTGAGGGGAGACGAGAGGTGCAAGGAGGTGGTTGAGGATGTCCTGGTAGCCGAGACCCTGAACACCCGCACACACTACCGCTTCAAAGAGATCTTGCATAGCTTTCAATGCTCCACCTGAAATAACATCACAGTGTGATAAGTTAACATGATAAAAAAAAATTGAAATGTTTTTAGATAAAAACATGATAAAAAAAATATCAAAACATTCAATCTGCTTTGAGAAAGTAATGTCATTTTGTTCATTCAATGTATTCTTATGCATCATAGTATGAGAGATAGAGAAGACTGAAAAAGAGCATCAGATGTGGCAAAGGTTAGAAACTTCCCCAAAAGAAAAACAAGCTAACATGCAACACGTTATTACACAGAGTACCACTTGTTCGTGCCGAAACCCCCACCCCCACCCCCACCCAGGAGGGAGAGAGGTCGTCTCAGCCCACCAAGACAACAGCCAGACTGTCAGTTTGGAGGCTGATAAATGGAAACAAAACCTGCCAACCGGGAAGCAGGAAGGATGCCAGGAAGCCTCCGGGGCTCTATCCAGAAAATGGCCTTTCATTTCATTCAACACTGGTTTTCTGTCGGGGAGCGCCGTTGGCTCCCTGGAGCTAACTACCCAAAGAGCAGGAAAATAGGGATTTACCTGGGAGGCGGCTGCACTGCACAACTCATAACAAAGACGAGACAACTAGCTGAAATCGCCGACCCTAGGCGACACAAGACCGTCGAGTGCCCGGCACACAAACAAGATATCGGGCAGCCAGGACCCTGTTCGATCTCCAAAACCACCATGCCTGAATAGCAACCCAATACATATTACCAAACACAGCAGCCAAAGCTGCAAATGTATGAACATCATGGGTGTGAGGGTAGACCTCATGCTGACTAAACCTGATAACCCTGCGGACGACCTGAGAGACCCAAACCCTGGAACTGGAAACAAGAGAAACCGGCTCAATCCACAGCGCGTCCCAGAACACACAAGCTGAGGCGCGCGGATAATGGCGAAAAGCTGCAACAGGACACAGCACATGATGTACCCTTGGTCATACTAACCAACCAACAATAACCCACGGACCCCTCCGAAAGTCCACCGTCTTGTTCTCCGTCAGAAAAGGAGGAGACGGCTGCAAACAAACGAAAATGTCCACCCGGATCAAAAGAGTAAAAACCTCTGTGCTGGAGGAGAGCATGAAGCTACCCAACTCAATCCCCTGAAGCCAAAGCCAACAAGAACAAAGCTTTCAGGAAAGTCTTGGACAAAAGGGGCCACTACAAACCGAGGGGAAGAGAGAAAATAAAGCACCCGGTCCAAAGACCAGGAAGACTCAAGCGGCGCATGAGCAGGCTGGAGGTAGAAAAAGAGCATGAGAAAGCTTGTGAAACGGAGCCTAAGTGACATCCACTCTGAACACATGCTGGAGTGGCTCCACCAACGCCGCACGATACGAGGCGACAGATTTCGGCATAAGTTGCCTGTCCTGAAAGAGCCAACAAATTAAAGTCAACACAACACGATCCGAGATCAAAGAGAACCAATGCAGGGAAAGAAAATGGCGTAAAGGCCACCAAGAGACTTCATACTGACGCCGAGAAAACCTGCGGTGTCCCTCCACAGATGGGACACCATTAGAGAAGCCACCTGGTCTTACAGAGGGAGATACACCCGCATATCACTATCACAGATGGTGATACACCCGGGTCAGAAACTCCAGACGCGAAGTGAAGAAGAGCAGATCAAACAAGCAAGGAACCTCACTGGTCCAATCTGTTGAAAGAGGCGGAGCCGCGGAAAATGCACCAGGGTCAGACACCGAGCAAGCAGCACCTGAAACCAAGGCTGGGCAGGCCACCATGGGGCCAGAAGGAGAACCCTCCCCCAATAGGACTCGAGCTGAGCCAGAACTTTAGCAACAGCTGAACTGGGGGAAAGAGGTACAAATAACCCCACCTCGACCAGTCCTGCCGGAAAATGTAAACAGCGATGGCCGATGCAAGGATGAACCCCACCGACCCTGGCTGGCCTGGTGAGCACTGGGCACAAAGCCCCAGCCGAGAGAAGAGGCATCCATGAACACATCGAGCGAGGCCTCGGGTAGGTGCCTATGCACAGAACTCCAAAAAAAACTGAAGAGGAAGTCAGCGACACAACAGCCGATGTAAAGTCCTAGGGGTCCGAACCCAGCGATCGTAAGAGAAGTGGACGGGATGTCCCTGAAGGAACCAGAACAGCTGCCCAAACCAGATCCGGCATGACGAGTAAACCGGCACGGCGATGTTCAGACTCCCGCACAGCTACTCGAACAACCGATGAGTGTCCCGGGTGCACTCTAAAAACAGCCGATGACAGGACTGCAGCCGGAGCAACACCGCGGGAGGTAGAGAGAAGGAAGTGGTCCGAGAGTCCCACACAAGACCCAGCCAAGTCCAAACCTGAAAGAGAACCAAATGGGACTTCCTCCAGTTCACCAAGAACCCAAACCCAGCGAGCTGGGAATGAACCAAATCTCTGGTGAGCAGACACATGGACTGTCTAGAAGCTCAGACCAGCCAGTCATTGAGGTAAGCAAGAACCCGAACCCCAAACAGACGCAAACGGGCCACCACGACCCGGGTAAGGCAATTGAACACGTGAGGTGCCAGATTCAAGCCGAATGGAAGGCAACAAAAGCGGTAAGCCTGCCACCCCACAACAAAACCAAGCCAGTCCCTGAACCTCCAGATGAATCGGGACATGCCAATATGCATCCCAGAGGTACAGGGACACCATCCAAGTGCCCAACTCCAAAAACAGCCAGACCTGGGACAGAGTGGTCATATGAAAGGAGGGGCAAAAAGCCCAGGGGTTCAGATGGGACAAGTCCAGAATAAACCAAAGGTCCGCACAGTCCCGTTTCGGAACTAGAAACAGGCAGGAAACCCACCTGGGGGATGTCGTCGTTTCGACCACACCTAAATGAACCCAGTCCAGGATGACTCGACAGAGCGCATGGGAAGAGGCCTGCCCCAACAGCCCCAATCCCCCCGAAGAAAGAGGAGCCACACAATGCCACCGCAGGCCAGAGGAAATGACCCGAAATGCCCAGGAATTGGTGGACCAAACGAGAGCAAACAGCGCGAGCCTCCCCCGGTTCCCTGACAAGGCCAACGACCCTTACGAGAATCTGACCGACGCTCAGAGCACAGAGCAATCACTTCATCAACCAGACGTCAACAGGGCAGGAGTCAAATCTGGCTTACGATGACCGAAAGAACCCCGAGTCCAGGTAGGACCACCACAGCCCACCACCCCAGGAGAATCAACAAGTTCGAAAAAGGCCAGCAACTAGACGAAGCCGCCTGCAGCAAATGCACCACTGCAGACTCTGCAAACAGCAATGGACAAAACGAGGGTGAAAATTTAAGTGCCAGGATCCAAGCGGATTCCAAAGAGTGGATGAGCACCGCCTGCCAACAAGCGAGGCGTGAAGCGAAGAACAGACACCACTTCCTTCAGAATTGGCTCAAAAAACCTCCACAAGGCAGCCAACTCCCGAGCTGCCGAGGCAAGCACACCAGATGCAGGTCCGGAACCTAGCTCCTCCACATCCTCCTCGAACTAGTCGGAAGAGAGCTCCAGGAGGGAAAAGAATCGCAAGACCGAAGCCGAATGACCCCAGGCGTGCAAATCCTCGGTCACCAGGGACGCGGAAAGGGAGGGAACCTGCACGTGACGCTGCACCTGGCGGATATCACGAGGAAGCACGGGGTACGAACAAGCACCCATTGAGGTGCTCAAACTCGTCCCCAGGTAAACCTGAACGACCTTAGTCAACTCCTGCCAATGCAGCGTGCGGGTCCGATAGAATGTATGCCACACACCCCAACGAAAAGAAATGGCAGTCTGCCAGCCAGGAAGACTCTGGCACCTCGTAATGCACCCAGTAAGGAAAAGAGGAGTCAAACTCAAAAGAAAAACCCTTATCGTGGTGTAATCTGGGTCTCGCAAGCGGTAAGGGAGCCTCCACATCAGGACCCGGAGACAAGCCGTCCTCCAAACCCATCTGCCTCTGGAGAAAGAGCAGAGTCCACTAGAAAAGCAAGGATGAAGGAGCCCCGCTGGCGTGATTCAAAAGTCCCGGAAGGAGAGACAGGCTCGAAATTCCTCTACCGCCAATCTAGAAGAGGCAGTCCCCAAAGCCGCCCGAGTCTCACCAAGAAAACCCTGCCCCAACTCCGAAACCCTCAGACGTTTGAGGACTGGGAGCAGGGGGGGGGGGGAGGATGAACCACAGCAGGGGAAGGACTGAGGGGCTCAGACGAAACCTAAGTCGAAAAGACTAAAACCCTTAAAGTCTGGGTCACTATAACCAAAGCGGGGCAGCTGCAGGGCATCCAGAAAGGCAATCAACCTAGCTCGTTGCAGCAACCTAAAGTGCCCATACAATGCTGAAGCTGCCAAATATTAATATCAGTGGACTGGGTGAATTGGAGTACAAGCAAGGAACACCACTCACAGAACTCCAGGTCAAAGGTGTCATTGACCCAACAGGCAGCATATTGGGAGGCAAAAATGGTGAGTGTCACCCTGAGACAAGAGGACAGAGCAACCTTCAAACTCGCACGAAGTGAGGTGGGACTCGGAGGTCTCCTCCATCAGACCAATGAGCCCCAATGGGGGATTCCAGGGCCCCTTAGGCTGACTGCTAAGGGAAGTCCAGGCGAGGTACTGCTAACCAGTTATCCCAGAGCTACCAAGCAAAAACTAAAAGCTGAGCCCCTGTGACGTGTGTAATCACGGGGACCTAGCAGAGGGCCACTAAAATCATACAAGTGGTCCTACAGTCACACCAGCCAGACCCTCACCAAGCAAAACAAAATAAAAGAAAAACCCCACAAAAGCATAACATTTCCAGGGAATCAGAACCGGTCGCTGTGCATATATCAGACAGCTGCATAGTACCTTGCACCCCAGCCAGCTACCCAAGATAAAAAAGGAGTAAGAAAAACTCCAAGGGCAGGCAATCACCGAGCAGCCAAACAACGACACGGAGGTAGCCTCCCAAACAGCCTATGAAAGATAAACCTAAACCACAAGGGCAGTACTTACAGGGCACCTTGGGAACGTGGCCCTAGGTGCATGCAGCCCCAGTACTCTTGTTGTACTCCTGGCTCGCACACCACCACACAGAACAACAACAATGCTATGAACAGCACTGCTCAAAAGGATGGAGTCAGAGTCGATCGACCGCCACCAAACACAACAGCCTCTGAACTGGAGTTGGGTAGCCAGCACGAGGGGGTCTACGGCTTCCCCTTCCCCCTCCCGGGGAGGGGGGAGTTGTGCAGACAGCGGCTGTGGTGACGTCATGCTTGTTTTCGACTGGGGAGTTCTGCTTGCTAGTCCAGCTTTTGGTTTGCAATTTTCAACCAGCTGTAGTTTGTTTTGGAATAGCAGACAGACTGCTTCCAATTTCATGAGGATCTATAGGCCATGGCTCCTCGTGCCTCTCTGAGGGTGCCAGGTTCCGGCGCTGGTCCCTGGTTGGCCTAGAACTCCATTGACTGACTGTTGCCACGGTCTAATATACAGTATACACATCAGCCCAGTATAGCTCCGGGTATCCGAAGGGGCTCTCCACAGAAAAATTAGTTTACCTTGGAATTTAAAGGTTTGAGGGAGGATGGGCTAAAGTTCACGTTACATTTGTTTTACCTAGTGTCACACGGCTACTACTAATACACTAAACTGGCCACTTGGGCTAACCTTGTAGAAGTGGGGATCTGACAAGAGCCATGACATCAGGCATTATGAGCTGCAGGAAATTTGCTAGAGAGGATTTGTGTAGCTTGGCCGTTGATGTAAGGAGAGTGAGGCATAGTTGAGCGATGTGAAGGTCGGATTCGTTGATTAACGGCGGCAACTCGACCAGCACCTGCACATATCATTAAAAACTGATTAATCTCTAAAATTTACATATGATATTTTCTAAAAGACCTCATGCAATTCTACCCAGATATATAACAAAAAGTTTCACAGGTAGCCGGGCATTGCTTTAACCCTTAAACTGCGCATGGCGTATATATACGCCCTGAGTAACATGTCCCATGGTGCGCATGGCGTATATATACGCCATAGGGTGCCAGGCCTGATTCAAATGGCCCGCGGCTACACGGGGTTCACATTAGCTTCCTCAGGGCTCTTGTAAACAGATGCCATTTAAAAAAAAAATCGTGGGCAATATTCTCAAGTGTGAGAGGCACAGTACTGTTGGAGCAACCAAGGCCGGCGCACGCAGCATGAGCGAACAGCATTGATGTTCAGCTTGTGACCACAGCATCGCCGAAAAATGCCAAAATAAATATATAATTGTTATTATTTAGCGATGACAATATTACAGATGACCCATGACTGTGATATAAATAACCAGGGTTGTGATAATAGCAGGATTGTTGTAATAATTAGTGCTGTGGGAGGAGTGATGCTGAGAGACGGAGGGAGACAGCATCGTTTACTGACTGTGTGGCCACCTGTTATTGTTTGCATTCACCATACCAGGTCAGTGGTTCTCTATGGTGAACACAAATGTAGATACTTATATATAATGTGTGTATTAGTGTAATAACAGCAAAAGGATTATGCTGGGAGGAGCCATATGGGTGACGGAGGTGACGTCGTCTGCATGATTTGTCTAGCTGTTTAGAGGGTGGCCACTATGCTCTTTGGGCGCACTACAAGCTTAGGTGTACAGTTACGGTGCATAAAACATGTAGATATTTATATATAATGTGTATATAGGGTAATAACACTGCAAAAGGTATTGTTGGGGGAGAAAGTTTAGTGCGTGTGACCTTGAAAGAGTGAGGGAGCCGCCAGCCGCCATCTGTGTATAGCGACGACTCTTAGTGCCTGAACTAACTATATCAGCTTAGCTGTACAGTTGTGGTGAACAAAATATATACATACTTATATATAACGTCTGTATATAGTGTAATAACACCACAAATGGTATTGTTGGGGGAGAAAGTTTAGTGCGTGTGACCTTGAATGAGTGAGGGAGCCGCCAGCCGCCATCTGTGTATAGCGACGACTCTTAGTGCCTGAACTAACTATATCAGCTTAGCTGTACAGTTGTGGTGAACAAAATATACACATACTTATATATAACGTCTGTATATAGTGTAATAACACCACAAATGGTATTGTTGGGGGAGAAAGTTTAGTGTGTGTGACCTTGAATGAGTGAGGGAGCCGCCAGCCGCCATCTGTGTATAGCGACGACTCTTAGTGCCTGAACTAACTATATCAGCTTAGCTGTACAGTTGTGGTGAACAAAATATACACATACTTATATATAACGTCTGTATATAGTGTAATAACACCACAACTGGTATTGTTGGGGGAGAAAGTTTAGTGCGTGTGTTAAGGGAGTGGCAGCGAGTGGCTGGCTGGTGTGTGGCGGTAACTCCTCGTTGCTTTTCGACTCTCAATACCAACTAAGTGGTTCGTTATGGTGACCAAAACATGCCAATACTTATATATAACCTGTGTATAGAGTGTAATAGCAGCAAAACTATTTGTTTATAGTTTTATAAACATAATTGAATCACTAATATGCACATCATACTTTTGAGTATAGCGATTATTAAAGCGATTATTAACCACTTTTATTATATAAATATATTACAATACACACTATTGAATAATATTACTGCAAAAAAACTAAGAAAAAATCAATCGGAGACATTGAAACAATTGGGTAATAATATCTTTGTGGCAACTCCCATCTGTCAACGCGGGTGACGCTGACCGGGTCTGACGACCGCTCTGTCAACGCCCACTTTTTGCCAGACTTCCTCGGTCAATTGCGCCCAAAATATGTCACCTACGATTTTTTTTTTATTTTTTCCGTGCTCAGGGGACACAAATTAACATGTTTAGAAGACGAAAAAAAAATTTTGAATTTTTTTATTTCATGCGCACAGGGGTATAAATGTCCCAAGGACCCCTGAGCAGTGTAAGGGTTAATGGTACATATCCTTCAAAATAGACGAAATAATGAAAAAACCAGCGTTGAATGTAATGAAACGCCATTTTCTGGGTGAGCCCCGGAGGCTCCCTGGAGCTTATCTGGCTAATGTATGTTATATTAAACCGGGACCTGGCTCCTTCAGAGAGGTTTCAGGGAGCAATGGCCCTGGAAAACCCCTTTGTGGTTGGGGTTTTCCTTATCTGACATCGACCGGGGTTAGGCACCCAGAAAGGTAGGCATAACAAAACAAACCCCACATAGTAAAAAACTAAAACAAAAAAACATACAGAGAGGTAGAAACTCCCTACAATCCGAAGGAAACAAGCAAACATCACACTTTACTGCCACGATGATCGTCCACGCAGCCCTCCCCTCCCCGAGAGGGGGAGGGGGAGCCCTGGATCTCACTGTGCCGGCTGCCTAGCATCAGTTCAGAACCTAAGCTTCAACCAACGTGAAAAAACCGCCGACCGGTGGGAGGGAGGGTTGCCAGGAAGTCTCCGGGGCTCACCCAGAAAATGGCGTTTCATTACATTCAACACTGGTTTTCTGTGGGGAGCCCCTACGGATCCCTGGAGCTTCATACCTAAAGAGAAGAAAAAGAAAGGGCTGACCCGGGAGGCGGCCGCCACAAACTCCGCAACAGGCTGCAACCTGCGACCCAAGGCAACAAGAACGCACAGGAGCAGATGCGAGTATAAAGAACAGGCGCCCAGGAACCTGTGCGACCCTCAAATCCTCGCGCCTGAATTAAGCCCTAGACGTCACCAACAGAGCAGCAAAAGCTGCAAACGTCAGAACAGCACGGGTGCAAGAATGGACTGCAGGCTGGAAGACCTAAAAACTCTGCGGACGACCTGGGAGCCCCGAGCCCTGAAACAGGGAATCCGATTAGCCCAAAACACATCCCCAGACACGGTACGCAGGTAACTGCAAAAAAGCGCAACCGGACAACACAGGACGCACCCATGGCCGAACCAATCAAGCATCAATAAGCCAATGGCCCCTCCCCAGTAAGCAGCCGTCTCGACCGTCGCCAGAAGGACGGAGAAAGGCTGCAACGTACAAATCTACCACCAGTACCAAAGAGCAGAAACCTGAACCGAAGGGGCTACCACAAACTGAGGAGAAGATAAGAGGACACCCTGATTAAGGACCAGGATGGCTTAGGCAACGCATGAGCACGCACGCAAACCGGAGCGCCTCTGCCAGCGCCGCACAAAACGAGGTGACAGTAAGAACAGTAAGAAACATCAAATAACTGTAGTGCTGAAAACCCAAGAAAAGACAAGACAAACCGATGCAAAAGAGAAGACGACCTACAGAGAGCAAGGAAAAGGTTCATAGAAACACCAGGATCATCATACTGTCGCCGAGACGAAGCTCGCAGGTGGGATACCATCAACAAAACCACCTGATCACTACAGAGATGGTGATACCCACGTCAGAAAAACAGACGAGAAGAGTCGAGGAGAAGGCCGAACCAGTCACGTACAGGACCGGTCCGACCTGCCGAAAGAGGCAGAGCAGCAGGAAAACACCCCGGGTTCGGACACCTATCAAGCATCGTCTGAAAATAAAGCTGGGCCGGCCAACAAGGGACCATGAGGACTATTCTCTTGGGAATTGGCTCCAACCGAGCCAGAACCCGAAGCAACAGCTGGACCGGGAGAAGAGGAACGGGTACCCCCACCTCGACCAGTCCTGCCAAAAGGCATCCACTGTGAACGCCTCGCAAGTGGGTAAGAGCACCACATAGAATGGGCGATGCCTAGACTATGCCGACTCGAAGACGTCCATGGCCAGGAGTCCATACGTCCGGCAAAGCCAATGAAACGAGTCGGCGCCGATTGGCCAATCCGTTAACAGAGGAATGAATCGAGACAGGCTGTCTGCCACGACGTAGGACACACCCCGGACATGAACCTCACAGTTAGCCAAACCCCGATAATCCAGCAAACGAGCCACTCGAAGGGACCAACCCCAAAGGCAAACACCTAAAAGAAACCCTGTGGGTCCGGCAAAGAACCGCCAGAGAACAGTCTGAATGGAGCCGAATGGTAGAGCACCGAGTGACCCAACCCCTCCGAAGCACAAACCAGACAGCCACGAACTCCCAAACTGTGCTGTGAGCCCGACGGACGGACAGACCACACCATCCCCGGCTGACCTGGTGAGCACTGGTCACAAAGCCACAGCCGAGAGATGACCCGTCCGTGAACACATCGAGCGAAGGCCCAGGAAGGTGCCAAGGCTCGGAACCCCGAAAACCCCAAAGAGGAAGCTGGTGAAGCAGCACCAACACAAGATCCCCGGAGGAACAAACCCAACGATTGCAAGAGAGGCGGAAGGGGGAGTCTCCTAAGGAACCAAACAGACGCCAAAGCCAAACCCTACCCTGCGGGCAGACCAGCACATCGAAGTTCAGACTCCCGCACAACTGCTCAAGCAACCCGGGGCCCCTCATGAACAGCCGAAGGCGGGACCACAGCCGCAGCAACACTTCTGGAGGGAGGGACAAGGAGCGGCCCAGGAGCCCTAAACAAGACCCAGCCAGGTCCGAACCTGGGACAGAAACAAATGGAATGGCCTCCATGATCACCAGGAAACCAAACCCAGCGATCTGGAAAGAACCACACACCTGGTGAGCAGACAAGCGGACCGACTGAGAGCCCACACCAGCCAGTAGTCGAGGTAGGCCAGACACCGAATCCCAAACAGACTCAGACAGGGCACCAAGATCCAGTAAAGATGCGTAAATACACCAAGTGCCAATTACAAACAAGGGAAGGCAACAAAAGCGGCAAACCTGAAGCCCCACCACCAACTGTGCCAGTCCCGGAAAACTGAAGAAGAACGTGCCAAGAATTGACCTGGAGGTCCAGGGCCACCATCCAGGCACC